TCGTTTTGAATTAATGTCCGCAACAAATAGTATTTTTTTTTTTTTTTTTTTTGAAAGCGGATGATGTTAATGACTTTAAACAGGTTGAACACCTCCTTCATTTTAATAACAAAGAAACAATTAACTATATAACATCGGGATTATTTTGTAATATGGTATGTGTACTACTTTATTGACCCGCCTTTTGAATAGTTTTTCGTTATTTATAATTTAAAAAAACCCGTTATAAATTGTCAAAAGAAGAAGAAGAAGGAGAAAAAGTGGATTGGGAAAGTTTTCTCTTATGCTAGTTATGTTTTTAAATAAAAATAAATAAACAGTACTCGCTTTCAATTTTAAATTTGTGAAATTTTCTAACATTTTATAAAAACTTTCTCAAGATTCTTTATAATGATTTGCATAAAAATGGAGTTTAGAAAGTTTATTCGTGAAAACGGTGTTTTAATTGTATAAATAAAAAGAGAGTATGGAAAATGCATTGATGCGCTTCTGTAATTTTGGGAGATGAACCATGACAATTTAAAGAAAATTTTTATCCGGGTTACGTTTGGTAATTAGCTTTTTTGAATAGTGGCTAATTATTTACTTTGCTCTTTTGTGTCTAAAATGAAGAAAATAAATTAATTCTTTGCAAAATTTCGATATCGCAGAAAAAAATTAAATTATGTTTGATTTAGTTCATTATACGCAGTATGAAAAGTATAGAGAATTCAATTTTTTGCGGTTGATTTTGACTCTCAGGCGATCACCTCTAGAAAAATTTTTGACTTCGTTGATTTCCTACTTATTAATTTTTAATTGAAATAATATTAACAATATTTAAAATCTTAAAAAGAGATTTATCAAAATTTTTGAAAATAATAATTATTGGATTTCTATACGAAGAATGTAATTGAATTCTTTCGAGAAATTTTATTACAATGTTTTAAAATAATAATTGAATTCTTTTTAGAAATGTTATAAAAATAATTGAAATTACCGAATTTTATTTAAATTTTATTAAAAATAAGTGAATTTTACCCAAATTTTTCAAGATATTAATAATTTTTTTTTAATTCTTTAAAATAATTAATTTCCTGTGAAATATTTTAAAAATTATGGAAATAATTGAAATTTTGCTAAGAATTTAATTAAAAATTTTCGAAAATAATTGAATTTTTTCGAGGAATTTAATTAAAATTCTGTTGTGAAAATATTTAAATTTTTATAAAGAATTGAATTGAAACTTTTCAAAATAATTGAATTTTAGAATTAAAATTTTTTTAAATTCTTTAAAAATAGTTTATTTCCTGTGAAAAATTAAAAAAAATTTTGGAAATAATTGAAATTTTGCTAAGAATTTAATTAAAAATTGTCAAAAATAATTGAATTTTTTCGAGAAATTTAATTAAAATTCTATTTTGAAAATATTTAAATTCTTGTAAAGTAAATAATTTACATTTTGCAAAATAATTTTATTTAATATTCTTATCTTACAAAAAATTTTATTACAAATTTAAAAAAAAAATATAATTTGTTCCTAAAAATTTTATTAAAATTTTTAAAAATAATTAATTATATTCCTGCAAAAAATTTTATAAATTATAATAGTAATTGAAATTTTGCTAGGAATTAAATGAAAATTTTCAAAAATAATTGAATTTGTTCGTGAAATTTAAATAAAATTGTACTAAAAATATTTCAATTCTTATGAAGAATTATTAGATAAATATTCTTGAAAATAAATGAATTTTGTAGAAGAATTGTTATTAAATTTCTGAAAACAATTGAAATTTTACGAAAAATTTTTTATTTATTAAGTTTTTCAAAAAGTTTATGTAAAGTTTTATTTTGTAAAGAATTTTATTGCAAATTTTTTAAAATAATAAATTTTTTACGAAGAATTTTATTAAAATTGTTTAAATTGAATTTTCTGGAGAAATTCCATTAAAATTATTTATAAATTTAATTTTCTAGAGAAATTTTATTAAAATTGCATTGAAAATATTTTAATTCTTATAAAGAATTGAATTAAAATTTTTCAAAATAATTGAGTTTTTTAAAATTCTTTCAAATAATTAATTTTCTGCGAAAGTTTTGATACATAATGAAAATAATTAAACTTTTGCTAAGAATATAAATAAAAATTATCTAAAATAATTGAATTTTTTCGAAGAATTTAATTAAAATTCTGTTGAAAATATATTTCAATTCTTTTAAAGAAATTTAAGTAAAATTTTTTCAAAATAATTAAAATTTTTGAGAAGTATTATTATTAAATTTCTAAAAAATTAATTGAAATTCTGCAAGGAATATTTTATTTAGAAAAGAATGTAATTTTTCCAAAGAATTTAGTTTAATTTTTTTATTTTATAAAGAATATTTTATTGCAAATTTTTTAGAATAATAAATTTTTTGCGAGGAAGTTTATTAAAATTCTTTAAATTCAATTCAAGTTGCATTGAAAATATTTTAATTCATTTAAAGAATTGAATTAAAATTTTTCAAAATAATTTAATTTTTAAAAACAATTGAATTTTTTAAATTAATTGAATTTTTCAAAACAATTGAATTTTTAAATTAAATTCGTTCAAAATTCTTTAAAATAATTAATTTCCTGTTAAAAATCATGGAAATAATTGAAATTTTGCTAAGAATTTAATTAAAAGTTATCGAAAACAATTGAATTTTTTGGAGAAATTTAATTCAAATTGCATTGAAAATATTTCAAATCTTATAAAGAATTGAATTAAAATTTTTCAAAATAATTGAATTTTTTAAAACAATTGAATTTTTTAAATTAATTGAATTTTTTAAATTAATTGAATTTTTCAAAACAATTGAATTTTTAAATTAAATTCGTTCAAAATTCTTTAAAATAATTAATTTCCTGTTAAAAATCATGGAAATAATTGAAATTTTGCTAAGAATTTAATTAAAAGTTATCGAAAACAATTGAATTTTTTGGAGAAATTTAATTCAAATTGCATTGAAAATATTTCAAATCTTATAAAGAATTGAATTAAAATTTTTCAAAATAATTGAATTTTTGAATTGAATTCGTTTAAAATTCTTTAAAAAAAAGTTAATTTCCTGTGAAATTTTTTTAAAAAATTTTAGAAATAATTAAAATTTTGCTAAGAATTAAAAAAAAATGGTCGAAAATAATTGAATTTTTTTTTCGAGGAATTTAATTAAAATTCTATTGTGAAAATATTTCAATTCTTATATAATGAATTTAAGTATACAATTTTTTAAAATAATTAAATTTTCGAGAAGAATTTTGTCAAATATAAAAAAATAACTGAATTCCTTTGAGAAATTTGATTAAAATTGCATTGAAAATAATTCAATTCCTACGAAGAATTTTATTATGGAGTTTTTGAAAACAATAAATAATTAGAATTAGTTAGTAAATAAGGTTTGAATTTTTTTTTAATTTTGAAAATAATTCAATTCCTGTGAAGAATTTTATTGAAGTTTTTGAAAACAATAAATAAAACTAGAATTAGTTAGTAAATATTAGATTTGAATTCTTTTTTTAATTTTGAATTGAAATTAATAAATATTCTCTATAATTCATTTAATTCTGGCTATATAACAATTAGTAGAATTTTACCGATTTTCATTTGAAAGAAATAAAATTTATTAGCAACAAATAAGTTTATATTTTAAAGTAAAGCAAAGGAAAAAAGGGGTGCGCAGGCGCATAGCGGCTGCGCGAGCCTTTTTTCCCCTGCGTCACTACTTTTTTTCCCTCTGACATCACAATTCGTAAACTTCGATTTAAAAAAAAACCCCACTTCACTCTACAATAAATTGAATTTTTCGAGCGTCTATGGTATAAAATTAAAATAAAATACTAATAACTATAAAAATAGAATGAATCTAACAATATTATTTTAATTTTAACGATGTAATAATATATTCTTATAATGATTTTTACATACCACAATCATTTTCTTCACTATCATTATAATTTTCTTGTTATTAATATTGAGTTATTATCGTTTAAATCTTTTCATCAACACTATGATTATTATTTCTCAAGACCCCCTTTTTTTTACTTAATTATTACAAGTTTTTTTTTTAGAGAAAGTAATTTTATTTTGAATTCTTCATTATAAGTCTCTCTCGTATATAATATCTGTCCTGGGTGCGTACAAAAGTATATTGTTGTTGATTGCAGCAATTAATGTTAAGTTTAGATTACCGAAGAAAATTCTTATATTGGCTAACGAGGGCCAAAGACTACGAATATAACTCGGCGAATTGACTCAATTAAAAACCCACGGATCAACAGTCGGACCATTGTGCTCCGTCACGCCATCGGCCCTTATTCTCGTCTTGAGTCCCTTTTCTTCGATCTCTCCTTCAATCCAGATGCATTCGATACTCGATACTTCTTGGTCATTAATCATATGTTTCTTTATATGGTCTTCTCAACATGTATTAAAAAAATTTATACTTATATTATATCGGAGGAAAAAATTTTTATATGAAAGAGAGAGGTTCCTTCAAGAAACTGATTTTAAAAACTGTCTATCAGTGTTAAATGGGTTTTTGAAAAAAAAAATACTGTTAACGCATGTTCTTGTCATTTTGTCCCATGTTCTATGTATTAATACAAATTTTCGATATGTTTCTTGAAAATCAATTTATAAAAATTATGAATTTGATTTATTATTGAGATGGGTTTTTAGCTCCTAAACGGAATTCTTCAATAGTCGCAACCTTTTGAAGTTGTATATCCTTTCGTTGAAAATATCCGATTAAACAAACTTTTAGGGTCAATTTTTAACTCGAAAAGTTGTAATGCTAACACTTTAAGATCATTAATTTTACCGATAACTTTTGTGTTTGTATCTTAGTAAAATTCTGAACGTTCAACTGATCGAAATTTATTGACGCTGTATCTGAATTTTAATTTATGAAACAATTATTAACTTCTTCTGCTTTGAATAAACACAATCCTTAAATTGAAACAAATATTTTAATAACAATTGAAATGTTTGTTACAGGATATGGATTTGATAGAAGTCCTTTGGAAGCAAGATGTAGATTTGGGATTCACCATTGTGGAGCCAACAAGTCCGGATAAGTCCTTGGAGAAGGAGACTGATGATGATATCGAGAAACTGAAAGCCTTGAAAGCCATTAATGCTACACATGAAAAGGTAAGATTCAAACTTTAATTATATTTGTATTACTTTGTATTATTTTTCGATTAATGATTGCTGAAAATTTACCAAACATCATAAACTTCTGCGCATTTTTGTTTTACAAAAAAAAAAAAATTAAATCAAATTGCGCCAAATAATATTTTTTCAAGACAATAAAATATTGCGAGGATGCGTGTGCCTCTACTATCTTTATAACAAAAAGATCTCGATCCGATAGATCGATATCGTCTTGAAATTGATGTCGGATGTGTATTAACAGAAAGATAAAACGATCTCCATTGGAATTTGACGTTCAGGGTGGCCATGATCCTCAAAGATCCGGCAATATTTCTTTGATGAATCTGATTACACAATTGTAACAAAACTATTCCTTTGTGGTACATCATTTTTGCCGCTCTCCTAGATCATTTTTTTCTATGGTTTTTTGACGAAGATTTATGCTAAAAATAATGTAAATACGGTGCAGTATTTTAAACTTGGTTTATTTTTTACCTAATCATTCAATGACTATATGTATGTCTAATCAATTTTTGAATTATGTGTATACAAAAACTAAGTTTGGTAACAAGTATAAAATGAAGCAAGAATGGAAAATTTGGATGGAAAACAAGATAACAAGATTGTGTTATTTTATAACGGGTCTATGATGGATTTCTTTTTATTTTAATTAAAAATTTATTCTCGTTATTATCTGGCGAGTCTTTCTCAAACATTAATCGATTTGGGTACAGTGAAATAAAATTATTGATTGGTTTCTTTTGTACGCGTTAGTTTTTTTTTAAATTTTAAACACCAGTGTCGTCATTTAATGTTTAATAGAAAAAAATGGATGCAATAGTTAATCGATTTTTCGTGATACAAATACTGACAAGCATGATGAAGAATAATTCCGTACACCCAAAAAATACCACAAGTTTGAATCTTAGCAAAGACTTCTTGTCATTTCAACAAAATCGTCGTCAACCATATCATCTGATTTTTTGTGTAAATACCTAAAAGGACATTTGGCACTTAATAGTGTAAAATAATTTCGAAACAATCGTCTACAACCGTCGTAGCATCTCCAGAATCGAAATTTAAAAGAGCAGTTGCAGAATTTCGGTCTATTTTTGGGCCCTGGGCAGAGAAATTTTGGTTTGTTTTAGGATTTGTTAAAAATGTTTGTAATTTCGATTATCTGAACCAAGTACTGCCCTATAATTAGTTCTGATAATAGCGAACAAAGATTGATCTAACAAAAAGTAAGATGTACTATCTCTAAACTAAACCTGAATGAGATATATAAAAGTGTCTGGTTTCGAATTTGAAACATATTTCTCATTCGATTTCAAATAAAATTTGAAATTTATATTAGGTAGATGTCAGCTTATCAGCTACTGCTTTCGTGTACAATTTCGCCTTAGTAATCAGTCACAGAGTGGACGTTAAGCCGACGGGATCCATGGAAACTGTGTTGGGAAGACGCTTCCAGGAGATTAGGCAGGAACACACATACAAAGCAGCAAGCATCTCCAGATACAATCTTCTTCTATACATCCCTAAAGTCATCTTGCTTCTGCTCCTGCGAATTCTTCAAGCGCTTATTTATATAGTGTAAATAACTAATTTTCCCCGATTCTGATTCTTTAAAATCCGTAACCAATTTTCATCTTTTGGTAACGCAAAGGAACATACTTTTGGAAAAAATTCCCCCCTCCAGTTAGTTTAGCTCATTTAAAACAATTCTCTTCAAAAATGGAACAATGCTTGTCAGACGCAACGAGAGGGTTTTCAACAAAAAAAAAAGTCGAAGAAATATACCGACCTTTGTTCTGAATGGATTGCGATCCGTGTCACGTATATCGATATATGTCTGAGTTGAATCGTGATCGAGAGGGCTTCCCTGTATTATTGGACGGGTGATCGCGCGGTGCGCCCTCACAAAAGGTGCAGAACAATGCATTGCGAGCAGCAAAAAAGCCGCTGAAGGAAAATGAAAGATCTCATGTAATGTAAGAGAGAAGAAGATGAAGAAGAAAAAGAAGAAAAAGAAGAAGAAGAAGAAGAAGATGGATATTGACTACCGAGAGAGATGTAAGAGTGGAACCTATAGCCCTGCGATATAGAAAGAGAAATGAACATCGCAGAGACTGGAGAATCTGATGGGCGACCCGCCCAGAACTTCCATGCAACGTCATCGTCGGGGACCATCCTTATAGACGACCCTGACTCTTCAGGGCATCATCGTATATCTTTTTTTTTCATTCCTCACGAGAACACTCGAATTGAGAAAGAGGCTCTCTCTGTAAAGGATGCCGTCAGAAAGAAAATTTCATCAATTTAATAATTATTCAAATTATTTTGAATAATGACGCGTCTGTATATGATGCTGAAATTTTTCTCTCGATATTTTGTTTTGTTTTTTGTGTTATTTGGTGCTTTCTGTTATTTTGCAACTCGTAGTGCACCCCTGAAAAAGCATAGTTTTATGCTGATCCTAATCATATAATAAATGCCGTAGATCTACGGCATTTATTATATGATTAGGATCAGCATAAAACTTTGGTTTGCTCATAACACAAGAAATTTTCGAACTTGACAGTCGCATATTAGTTTAGTGCAGCGTTTGTACTTATTACTTTTATTTTGGTACAACCGATGTGCCGATTCTGGGATTTTTGATGCACCAAAACACACCAAAAGTGCAGTTTTTCCTTAGTAGGTATCTGTTGTAAAAACGGTACGTCTACTATTCCGTAAGTTATTGGAGCAACCAATTTCTACTATCCAAACTAAAAAACCTACAGCAGGGGCATTTTCCGTAAGGTCGAGATAAAGATTAAAAATAACTCGAAGTTGTTATCTAGAAGCTATCTAGAAACCCACAATTATCTAAAACTGCTGCAGAAATTTACCGTTTACGCACTAAATTTACTTTTAGTTTGTAGCGGTTTGTAGTAAAAATACGAAATCGATGATTTTTTGGTCTTCCTCACTCTGTCATATAGTAAAATGGCGTTAGTAACACCCGAGAATTTGTTTGATCCCTCGAGTGCCATAATTCGTAATTTCTTATATCCGTACCGTACATAATACACACATGCGGGTATTGGTTGTATTTATTAATAGCTTTCGAGCCAGGTACCAATACAATCGTTTCCAATAATCGATTCACGTCAAATGGAAGGACGCGATTCGACAATCAAGAATTCATGCTTGTATATATGTTCATTAAATTTTTAATACCGCACAATATAAAATGAGAGAAAAAGTTTTCAAACTTTCGAAACAATAAAAACAATTTAAATTGTGGACTTTTTTCTACAAACTAATACATTTCTATTGATAATAGAATTTCTAAAAGGTTTGTATTGGTCCGCAAATAAATGTTCACATTAAGAACTTGTTTTTGAGTACGTCTAATAATTTTTGGAGTGAATCAAAATACTATAGCAAACATTTGATTGCATTAGAACGTATTTGAAAAATGTATATCAGATCGAGTTTTCAATTAAAATTTCGACGATAATAATGCAATATTATTACCACTGCATTCAATCGAAATTAAAATAGAAAATGATATAGAGAGAGAGAGAGAGAGTGTGTGTGATACGGGAAACGCCATTTTATATAATTGTAGTGTGTATATAGCTCTCTCAGTATGCTGGGGAAACAATATAATCCTGAGAAAGAGGCTGTAGAGACGCCCACTTTAGTTATTTGAAAGACCCGTTTTCAATTTCCAGAACCATTAATATATCTCTCTTTCCCCCTGTGATCCCCCTTTGCCGCGTTGCTCCAATCTCTCTCTTCGCTCATTCTTTTCATCTTCCCCTACTCTTTTCTCTCTTTTTAACCAACCAGACTTGAACCCAACCTCTGCTTTTTCTCTTTGAAATCTGCGTCTATATATCGCACCCTCTTCGCTTTTAAGGGATGCTGCGTGTGTACATCTATCATTTCGCGTTGAAATCCCTCAATCCGACGAATGCATCAACGGACAAATGAAAGTCTACTATTTTATTTTCAGTGCGGCCATGTTGGCGTGTATGTACATGAAAATCTACTTTAATCGGATGTAGGTATTTAAAAGCTTCTTCCGGAGATTGTTTCTGTACATTTGCTACTGTTGCCATTAAGTCTCAAGAATATTCGGATTCTTGTTTCTTAATCTATTGTCGATGTTCGAGTCTTTTTACAAGATTTTCGAATTCTTGTTCGAATTTTTAGAGCCGCACTAATGGTGCTTTGTACCACTATTGATGTTTTGGAATCATTTACAATTAAAGAAGTTCGTAAAATAATTATTTATGAATCGGATAGCAAAGGTTGTGCATAACCTCTGTTATCCGAATCCTCTGCTATAATAATATAGTTTACATAGTAATCAAGGTTCTGTATTCGAATGATATATATTATTCGATCCAAAAATGTATATCTTTGACGAATTTTCTTGTTTGTGTGGTATTTTTGTTGTTTCTTGTTATTTCTTTGTTGTTTCTTGTAATGCATAGTAATAATAGTAATTTAATTCTTCTAAGAGTAGTGCTTTAATCCATAATAACCAAATTTTAAAACTATAACCTCAGCATACTCAACGACACAAGATGATACATGCGAAGCATCAACGAAAGAGAAAGAGGGTAGATGATGAGAATATAAAGAAAGAGGGGTTTTCGAGGGGGGAGATATAAAAGGGATGAAGGGACAGGCAATGGTTGGATAGCCACTATCAGAACGTGGTTATGATTAATGGTCCCAGTACAATGCTGTTTTCATTAAACTCATTTCTCTGTTCCTCGAGCATTGTATATACAGCGAGTGCGCCGCGCTGCTATTGATGATCCTTATGGCTCGAAACATATCGCGGTCCCTCTCCATCTCGATCCAAAGGGTTCCTCACATATATATGATTATGACATCTCTATAAAGAACGCGACCTTCACGTCAATGATGATGTCCAATTGAAATTTTCTGTATTGTGTTGCGCAAAAATTCGAGTCCATGTTTGAATAAATTTTGAACTGCGGGATATGATTATTATATACATTAGGTATTAGAGGCATAATGGATATTAGGTTATTATAGTTTGGATACTACTTTTGATTCTTTTTCTTTTCTTTTCAAAGTTTTTGTTGGTGTGGCTCTAGATAATTTAGGTCAATTCTTAAGATACAGTTTTTCAGATCATTTCGAATACTCAAGTGTAGAATTTTATAAATTTTTAACAGACAACAGTACATATTCTTCACTCAGATATTTTCCGTATACTATAATATTATGTGCGCAATGTTAATTTAATCCATAAGACGACATTACCAAACGGTGCTTGTATTAGGATTATCAGAAAATAGCCGGGGAATTTCTATCATTACAGCGCGTTATTCACCAAAAAGTTCATATTAAAAGGAATAGTTTTTATAATTTATATACTAACGAATAGTTTCTATAATTTATATACTATAACTAGTTTGTCATTTATTAAACGACAAACTATTCCTTAGGAAGTAAATTCCTCATCGCGTCTTTATTATAGAATTAAATCTTTTTCCATACAAATATATATTATTAGAATAAAAAAGATAATTGTGTTATTCAAGACGCGGAAAGATTAACAAAATAAATAAAAATAATAATGGTGTATAGGCATGGTAAATATATAGAAGACCCCAATTATAGCGCATTTAGCATCTGCCTTCTTGACAGCGGAATTTCTTCATTTCGATAGGATTCTAATCCTGTCATTCTTCTCATGGCAGGCCATATAACTTTGTGTCTATATAGATATATATACAAAATCCGTCGTCATCGTCATTGTGATCGGCTTCTTCACCTTGTTTGGTCTTTTCAGAGTCTCACGTCTTCATCCATTCCAATGACTTCTTCTTCTTCTTCGTCGTTGACTTCACTTCTTCTTCTTCTTTTTCCTTCTTTTCAAGTGTTTAACTTTCGCTCCTTCACGTGAGATGAGAGGAGAGCGTGTCCACACACTGATTCTTGATCATGAATTTATGAGATTTTAATAACCGTGTGCTGTGTTTATCATTTTTTGAATTTTAAAATCAGTGTCTATACATAATGTAGAATCTTCTTTATTTTATTTTCAGGGTTGCCACAGGTCAGGAAATTTAGGGAAAAGACAGGGAAATTCGAACTGGTCGCGGTAAATCAGGTAGAAGTAGGGAATTTTTACTAAAAGTATACTGGAGAAATGAATTTTAATTTCCTTAGAGAAATAAAAGTTTCAATGGAATAAAATTCTGGAAACCAACATATGGAAGCAATAAATAAAAAGTTTTCAATCTTTTTTTGTCGTTTAGGAGGAAACCAAAGAGGCCGAAACGTTGAAGGAGGAAGATCTCTGGGCCGGTCTACCATACACAGTCGATCAGGAGACTGGTGAGTAATCCTTTAATATTGCAGTTTAATTTAGCGTCACACTTGCGCGGAATATAGGTGCGAAAGTTATAATCATATTTATTATTCGCCTCTGTTGAATGCGCATTCATATTTTATTTTTCCTGTCATTCAAGCAGAATATTTTTTTTTCATCGCACTATTATGACAAACAAATAATGAATGCCTCGTTTTCTAATTGAGAAGAATTACTAATTAGAGGCATATGCGCTTATGTATATTATAATTAAAATGATTATTGCCAACGATAAAATAGAAAATGCCTCTCCAAGAATATATTTCGCTTGGGAAATTTTATATTATTATTATAAACATATACACATAATTATAATAATATGAATCAAACGTGATGGAAATTTGATTTAAATTTCACTTTGTATGATTTCTCTTATCTCTCGAGCGCAATTAGTGTCAGATTATTAATAAAACTTGATCGAGAAAAGTGTAATAAACTTTTCAAAAGCAATAGGTTTTTCGGTTTTTCAAAATTTATGTTAACAAATGTTTTTACAAATTTACACTGCGTAAAAAGTCAGAACTCGCACTCCCGAGTCTTCGACTCGGAGTGATCGATTTCTTCATGTTTTATAATAATTAAAGATGATACAGTGATAAATTCGTTATCAATTATTATTTTCAAGAATTTTTAACTAAAATTCTTCTTTAAGTCGATTATTTTTAATAATTTTCGAAAAAGTGCTTTGACAACATTCAAATTCATTTGTTTACAATATTTAATTTTATGAAATTTCAATTATTCGTAAATTCTTCAATTAAATAAATATTAGAACATAAAAACTTCAAATAATATTTAAAAAATTCAATTAAACTTTTACAACAAAATTAATTTCAAAATTCAATTATTTTTAAAAATTCACATATTGCTTTTAATATTCAATTATTATCTATTTAACTGAAATTAATTTTTAAATCAATTTTTATTAGAAAATTCTACTAGAATTCAATTATTCAAATACAAAAATAAATAATTAATTATTGAATAATTGAATGATTCTTAAAATTCAATTCCCATAAAGAATTTTTATCAACAAAGTTTCAAATAATTGAATTCTATCAACGAATTTTAATAAAATTTTTAAGAATAATTACATTTTTCGAGAAGTCTTATTAAAATTGTATTAAAAATAATTAAAATTATGTAATGAGTTTTATTATTTCTGAAAATAATTGAATTTCTGAATTTTATTACTTTTGACCAATATTTAATTATTGCGAAGAATATTATTATTCTTGAAAATAATTCAATTTTTGCAATAATTTGTGACTTTTACAAAATTGATTTTTTTTTCGTGTTTTTAACTATAAACATCTATTCTATAAATCTATTATTTTTAATAATTTTTGAAAAAGTTCTTTAAGAATTTTCAAATTCATTTGTTTACAATACAATTTTACAAAATTTCAATTATTCGTAAATCCTCCAATTAAATATATATTAAAAAATAAAAACTTTAAATAATTTAAAAAAAATCCGCAATTAAAGTTTCTCGAAAAAAAATTAATTCCACATAATTGTTAGTAAAAAATTTTTAAAAATTTAATTTTCAAAGATTTTAATCTGAAACCTTTTCAAAATTTAATTATTTCTAAAAATTTACGCTCTAATGCTTTTAAAATTCAAATATAATCTAAAAGTTTAACTGAAATCCATTTTTAAATCAAATGTTTATGAGAAAATTCTACAAGAATTGAATTATTTAAATACAAAAATAAATAATTTATTGAAGAATTCAAAGTTTTTTAAAATTGAATTCTCATAAAGAATTTTATCTATAAATTTTTAAATAACTGAATTCTTTTGACGGATTTTAATAAAATTTTTAAGAATTTTTTCGAGGAATTCGATTGAAATTGTATTAAGAATAATTGAAATTCATCAATACAAAAATAAAGAATGTATTGAGTAACTGAATGTCTCCCAAAATTGATTGAATTTTCGTAAATAATTTTTTATGAACAAAATTTTAAAATAACTGAATTTTGGAAAAGAATTTTATTATTTATGAAGATAATTGAGATTTTGTCAAAAATGTGAGTAAAATTTTTGAAAATAATTAAATTTTGGATTTTATTATTTATAAAGATAATTGAAATTTTGAGGAAGATTTTATTCAAATTTTGAAAAATAATTGAATTTTAGAGAAGAATTTTATTATTTATAAAGATAATTGAAATTTTGAGGAAGATTTTATTCAAATTTTGAAAAATAATTGAATTTTAGAGAAGAATTTTAATATTTATAAAGATAATTGAAATTTTTGACATTTTATTAAAAGTTTTGAAAATAATTGAATTTCAGAAAAGAATTTCATTATTTCAGAAGATAATTGAAATTTTGACGAGAATTTAAAAAAAAAATTTTTAATGTTTGAATTTCTGCGAAGAATTTTACTATTTGAAAATATAATTGAATTTTGACGAAGGATTTATTAAGATTTTTAAAAATAATTGAATTTTGAAGGTGAATCTTTATTATTTTTAAAGGTAATTGAAATTTTGAGAATTTTATTAAAATTTTTGAATATAATTGATTTTTGGAAAATAATTTTAATATTTATAAAGATAGTTGAAGAATTTTATTAGTTTTGAAAATAATTGAATTTAGGGACACAGTTCGAGCCCTGTAAAAAGTAAATCTTATTTTCGCTTTGCGCTTTTGACTATATAAAACCGCGTTTCCATTCGAAGCATTCTTGACTGAATCTTATAATCTTGAGAGTATTATTTTATTTAGGTATTTATTCATTTTAAATCCTATTTAATTTTAAAATGTAATTATAAAAATTGACTAGGATGCTGCAGTTTCAGTTTCATAACTATAAAATAAAGTAATTAAAATAATTTTCAATTTCAATAAGAATGATAAATCTTGTTTTTTCTGTATCTCATCATCGTCATGATCTCGTCATGTAAGAAAGTTATGGAATTTTAATTCATAGATTGAAGTTTTACAAAAAGCAATTAAAAATCGAGCTCTCCATTTTTTCCACGGGGGACATGAACTGAATGATTCATTGAAAAAATATTCATCTGCAACAAACGTATATAGTTTATAAAAAGTAGTTATATACAGTAGAGGCCGAGACTTAATCAGGTGAGAACAAAAAAGTTATTGGTCGATGCAGTCACGACAGGTTCGAAGGAGTTAGTGAAGCGGCACTTATCGTACGTATAGAAAAGTAACAATGGGAGTAATAATAATAATATTAATAACAATAATAGTAACAATAACAATAATAGTAACAATAGTAACAATAACAATAATAATAATAATAATCTCTCTAAATTTGATTCTCAGTTAAAATGTTGTAAGTGATTCAGATTCAGAGAGAAAATTTTAATATAGCAAAGAGTAATAGTTATAAATAATAATAATAATAATAATAACGTGAGAATAATGATAATAACATTAATAACAATAAAAATAATAATAATAAAAATATAATAACGTAGGGATAATGATAAAAGGATAATCACAAAGTTACATCAGGTCCAGGGTGTTTGATATCAAAGTAAGAGCTCCCAGGCAGACTTGGGTTCCGGAGAACTCGAACCTAGGGAGTGGCTTCAGGAACGCCCTCTCCTTCTGCCTTCGCCCCTCGCCGCACCCTGTCGCTCAGTCTTTCATATACACTTCTTCGTCCCTCTCCCTCTCTGCATTTAATTACTTTACGTCAAGCAAAGGAGAGAGAGAGAGAGAGAGCGAAAGACTCAGATCTCACATTTCTACAGCGCACCCTTTGTATTTCTACTCACTCCTTCGTTTTGAAACTTTTCATTTTTTTTCTTTTTTCTTTTTATTTTTTAAAAGTCATCATACCAAAAAATCTTTTTTTTTTACTTCGAGAAACATAACATTTGAAATTGAGTTTTACATAAACGGAAACGTTTGTATAGGTATTTATTGTATTATAAATTAATATATTTGTATTCTCCTGTTTTCTGATTATGTAAGATAGGAATTTTTAATTTATTTTTAGTTAGGGGTTTGGAAATATTTTATTTGGAATTTTATAGAAATTAAAAAAGTGATTAAAATAACGAAATATCTTGTATAAGATTTCGGTACTTTAATTAGAATTTTATTATTATTTCAATTAAATTTTAATTAAATTATTATTTTAATTAGTGCGAGGAAAATATTTAAATAAATTTTTATTAGAAAATGAATATTGAAAATATAGTAACTTTTGCTATTAAAAGTTTTATTTCCAGAGTCAATTTTATAATATCCGTATTAGGAAATTTTATTGAAAATTAGTAAAAAATACTTTGAATTTAGTAAAATTTATTCTGGAAATAATACAATTTATCAAAAATTCCCAAACAATTTGGATTATTCTTATAAGTAAATGTTATTTTATATTTGTTATGTTAAATGGAAAAATTTATAAATTTAAAGACACTGAGAAATAATATTAAAAAGATTTCTAACTTTCAAAAAAATTAGTTTTTTCAAAGTTTAAAAAAAGTAAACATTTTTTTCTTCAAGCATAACTGAAAAATTTTATAACTTAAAAAAAAATGATAATCTTTATAAGTTTCAATAATTTTCATAAATAATAAAATTTTTTAACAGAAATTCAATTATTTTCATAAATAATAAAAATTTTTACCAGAAATTCAATTATTTTCATAAATAATAAAATTATTTTTAGGAACTCAGTTATATTTTTTTATAAATAATCACAGAAATTCAATTATATTCAAAAATTTAAAAAAAAAACTCCTGCGAAAATTTCAATTATATATTTAAAAATATAATAAAATTCCTCTCTAAAATTCAATTATTTTCAAAATCATAAATTTTAATAAAATTCTTTTCAAAATTACAATTATTTTCAACAATTTTCCTAAATTCAATGATTTTTTATATATATTCTATTTTAATAAAATTTTCTAAAAGAATTCAATTATTTAAAAAAAATTTAATAAAATTCTTCTCCAAACTTTCATTATTT